TTAGGTAAAATTTTTAAAAATGTAATTTCGTCGATTTGTGTAATTTATGAAAATCATATGACAAAATTTTAGATGTGCGTCTGATATGTTTTATTTACACATTCTATCGATACTTTCCATGCATTTTAGATACTTTAATTATTAATTGAAATTATTTCGAAATTCCCAATGCTTGTTACAGTATCGAAGACTCCATATGCAGTTACACGCATATATTGTCGATACGAACCATATCCTAATGTTTGGTACATATATGACGAAACGCCTACGTGCGTACGTACGTACGTACCGGTACGTAAGTTTCAGCAGCATGCAATTAAGTACCATAAAGGGTCATATACAAGGTCCGGGTCTCTTACATTTAAAACCTATAATAAACTCCAAATCTAGTATACAACTGAGAGTTTATGTCATTAAGAGAAAGATTTTGAAGAGTATAGTAAGCAGTATAGAAATTTGAAAAAAATCACGATCAGGTTTGATTAATCTAGATCCCCGTAGTTCGCGCCCGGGTATAATTAATGGGGGACTATTATTGTGGTGATCTTTTATATGACCTTTTACGGTAAATATTATTCCTGTTCTATGTAAGAAAATTGAGAATTCTAGGCTAGTGATGTAACCGAAACTAGTTTTGGATTTTGTCGTAATCAATTCCCAAATACAATGACATCATAAAATATTATTTTATCAATTGGGTAATTTTGAACCCGGATCAATCTTATATTTGTGACGTAATAACATTTTGGTCTGGATTCAGCCACTTTATAAACAATATTTGTTTGTTCGATCATGATCAAAAACTGCAATTATTGTCAATTTTGCTCCAAAAAAGGTTTGGGCTATACGTATTACTATTCTTAGACTCTTCACTTTATTGAAATTGATAATTTAAAGAAATTCATTTCAATATGTTACTATACTGTATAGTTTATGCATTATCTCTTATATAAAAAGATCGAAATTTTAAACGTCTTGCTTTCTCACTCCTACATATCGATATCTTTTTTCAAATTATATCTTATCGTTATTTCTAAAACACAATAGTATATTGGACTTAGTTTATCATGTAGAACATGACAGGGTGTTCAAAAGAATGGCTTGATAAAAAACATATCAAGCTATATGATTACAGTGAATTTTCTGGACTTAAAGAAGTTGGTAGGGGAGGTTATGGAATTGTATGTAAAACAGTATGTAAAACAGCTGTTAAAAGGTTAGACTCGACAGTTGCTATTAAAAGACTAATTGTTGAAAAGAACGATGAAAAGACTATTCAAAAGTTTGTTAAAGAGGTAAGATTTCAACATTATGATGGATGGATCTTCATCTAAACGCTTAATTGTATTTATAAATTGATACTATTTTCAGATTGAGATTTTACGAAAAGTCTGGAAGCATCCAAATATCGTTAGATTTTATGGGGTTGTTCAAGGTTAGTAATAACAATTAAATTCGCGAATTCCAATAACTAATGTATCAATATATATATATACATAACAGAAGCATCAGATGGACACTATTATATGGTTTTACAATTTGCGAACAATGGGAATTTGCGTCAATATATAAACGTCCTTTTTTCAAAACTTAAATGGTCTCGTAAACTACAAATGGCACTTGAAATATCTAAAGGCATTGCATTTTTACATCAAAAAGATATTATCCATCGAGATCTCGTAAGTAGTAGCAGCGTATTTGATTATCTGTTTATCTTGATGGACGTCGTTCCACGTACATAAAACAATATGATAGAAATTTTAATAAATGATAATAATTTTATTGTCTAGCATCCCGAGAACATTCTAGTTCACGAAGGAAAAATGTTAATTTCAGATTTTGGTTTATCAAAGCAGATTAGTGAGACAACTGAAACTCTATACTCAAATATCTATGGAATACCAGGATATATGGACCCACAATGCGGTTTTCATAAATGTGCTAAGAAATGCGATATTTTTAGTTTTGGAGTAATTCTTTGGGAAATTTCAAGTGGCAGGCCACCATACCAATCATTTGGCGACAAAAATGGCATTTTCCTTCGCGTATTTCAAGGAGAGAGAGAACAACCTATTAAGGGCACTCCGCCTCAATATATTCAACTTTACGAGAAGTGTTGGGACTCGGACTCTGATATACGTCCAGATGCCGAATTAGTTTTAAACGACTTAGTAGATATAATTATGGAGCTGAATGAACCCCAACAAGCAATTTATATCGTGTTTATTTCATTTTTCTTCGTAAATACAATTTTCGATACACCTCATGATTGTTTCGTTTTTTTTGGTATCCCCCGGCTCATTGATCAGCATTGACTAATTCCGACATTTTCGTTATAAAATTGATAGTTTGTGTTTTATAATGTGGTCAAAATTATTCCAATCGAAATATTAAGTGACAAATCAAAAAAAAAAAAAAAAAAAAGATTTAACGCAGCATTATTAATATTAATACCCTTCAATAATATCATTTTTTTTACTAGCTCTCATTTCTAAAACTTTGCACTTCTTTAACTCTAGAATTCCTTTCGCCCTTTTTCTAGTTTAGTGCTAACGTTGATTCTGACTTTAGTTGGTAGCAACGTTGCAACTTGATCGATCCCAGACCACACGTAGCTATCAATTTTACTCCGTATAACTTGTTTAGGTTAACCGGTCCTTGTTTCTCAATGTATAGAGGTCTGATCCGATGAATATTATATTCGAATATATAATTGTTTCATTGAATTGAATATTCGAATATAATAATTATTCACCAAATAATTCATTGAATATTCAATGAAAATATACAATCCAATCGACCAATTAAAAGACAAGATCAAGTGTCAATATGTTACGCCTGATCTTGTTCTGATTGAACCCAAAGTAGATGAACGAGACAAATCCCTATTAGCTAGAAACAAATTTTAGTTTTCTTATTGCTTGTTAGTTAAGCACAGCAATCATTCGACTTCCTTATATTGCCTTAATTCATTATTTGCCCCAAATCAGCAACTCCTATGAATCATCAATATTCAATGAACATCCAGTGACTATTCGAATATTCATTCGAGATTTTCTTATGAATATTCGGAATTAAAAAGATTAACAAATGAATATTCTAATTCTTATTTTTTGTCCGGATCAGACCTCCATCAATGTACACTCATACAGGAATTTTGGTCAATGTACACAGTGGCATTATTTTGTGCTCGGTTTTTCTTATTCTTTTAGATTGTATATTCAATTTTTGTGCTCGGTTTTTCTTATTCTTTTAGATTGTATATTTAATTTTTGTTACGTAGTATTATTCATAGGAAGAAGTTCGTTTGATTGGTTAATTTTGTGTAGATCATTTCGTGATTTTGTAAATTATGATTGGTTGA